GGGGGGGTGTAATTATGCGGAAATAATCTTTTTCTCAAATTTTTAAATAATCTTTCAGCACTAATGCCACTAGTCCTCGTCTGATTCGTCAAGCTGGCATGTCATTCGTGTTTGAGTTACACGCACTTCTATCTTTTTAACTATTATGATTGAAGTGTTCAATAGGTACACTTTGAATGATGTAAGGTGCTTAATAGGTACAAGCCTCAGTTCAGGTGTTTAAATAGAATTTGGTGACAACTTTAAGTGGCTGTCAGTAGATTAAGCAAACATGACGGCAGTACAGAATAATACAAAGAGAGCACAATGCATGTCTCTGAAGCAGGGAGCAAATGAATACTAGCCGATCTTATATACCAGACCTTATCTTTACCATTTCCTTTTACATGGACATATTTTTGGGCATGTTAACGGCTTTAGGTTCAGAATTAAGTTTTAGGGGTTTGTTTAACTTTTGTAAGCTGCTATTTAAGATTTTCATAAAATCATTATGTTTAACAGTCAAAGGGGACTGGATGAATGGAAATGTTTTTATACTCCAGTATTTTGCCCCAAGTACACAGTACCTGCGGAACCTGATTACATGAAGTGTATACTCAAATCTTTAGATGAAACATTAATTCACCAGAACCAAGTACAGAATATTAGTAAAAATAGTTACCAGTTTTGGTATTAAGGCTGCCATTGAGCTGACAGCAAACGATGACAAGGCCCCAAGACCAACTAATGTATTCATGTTTGGCGATCCTTTAATTAGGCTTTTCAGACCATCAATAATAAGTTGTCGACCAGGTACAAGCAATGTAAACAGAGATAGAGTCATATGGAAACCCGTGGAATGCATTGCATGAATCCATGAAGCCTTAGCCCCAAAGAAATGAGAGAGATGGCCGACAAGGCACACTGCACATAAAGCCCATGAGACTGCAAGCCCCCGACCTGTTAAAACATTAGGTTATTAGTGTTGAGGTTATTACACTCTGATAAAATAGGTCCCTTAAATTGTGAAATCTCAGAAAATGGCTAGAAGAGGAGCTCTTAAGTAAGGTATGTACCACTTTCTTTCAACTGAATACGCTTTGCATTCATCTTCTTCTCAAATATCTCAAAGAAGTTTTCCCTTCCGGAATCTGCATTGAAATAGACCCATGTCACGCCAATACACATGCAAACACTTAAAACAAGAAGGTGATATACAATCAGATCAAGAAGGAAGATATCAGTGCTGATGATATTATTTCCTTGAATTTATGATATTTTAGGGGATAACCACAATGATAAAATGACTTCTAGTTGATTCTTCCAGGACATAAACAAAGTGTTGGGACAAAACTAGGAGGTCCAAAGAAAAGCATTAAAACAAGAAATTATGCTAATCATCCAAACAAGTTTAACTAGATTGAGTTTATACAAACACAAACTATGGTGTCGTACAACTTCATCAAAAAAATACGGTGTTGTAAAATCACTTCATTCAGTAAATGTTAACCATTTATTCATGTTCACAACTGTACCGCTATTTCTTTACACATGCAAACCATTTCCACTATCATTTTATGCACCTTGAATTTGATTAAGTGGGAGGCAAGGGGGGACACAAGTTGTAACATTCCAGACTTTAGACAGAGTCCCACATTGGCAAAATACAAGAGGGATGCTAAGTATATAAGTTAACAAGCCTTAGACCCAAGTGACGCGTTTTAAACCCGTGAGGGCCTAGGCCCAGAGCAGACAATATCACCAGCAGGCTGGGCTATTACAGATGGTATCAAAGCCGCTCTTGTGTCAGCCTTGCCGATGATGGGTCAGAGTTCAACTGAGTTTAGGCAAAATCTCGATTAGGTGGGGCAAACCTCAGTGGTGAGTCTAGGCGAATCCCATGCGGTGGGGCAAACCTCAGCGAGGACGTTGAGTCCATAAGAGGGGGTGTATGTAACATTCCCCAGACTTTAGACAGAGTCCCACATCGCAAAACACAAGAGGGATGTTGGGTATATAAGTTAACAAGCCTTAGACCCTAGTGACGCATTTTAAACCCGTGAGGGCCTAGGCCCAGAGCGGATAATACCACTAGCGGGCTGGACTGTTACACTTACACAAGTGAAGTGAAGGAAACTATTTTAATCAAAATAATACCTCTGAGTTCTGAGTTCAAAAGATTTTGAAATGAAGTTAAGATTTGGACATTGAAAAGCAGATTCAGGAAAAAATTCAGAAGTGCATCCATTTAAACTACTTTCTCCTATTTGATGATCATGAGTTGCCTAAAATTTATCCTTTTCATCACTAACTTTATAATCCTACAATTATCTCATGCAGTCTGCTTCAGTTGCAAAGATCTTTTCCTCACGGTGCCTTCCTTACCTTTATGCGAATTGACTCTAGGAGAGTGCCTTTTAATTAATAGGCTGCCGCCCGCAACAGTTTAAGTAAACCAATAAAACATTAGACAATCATATGTTTTTTTAATAAGGTTGATAATTTTATTAATATGGGATAACTCTCTACCAAAGGTAAAGAACCTACACAAGAATAGAGATCACATGTGTTTGACAACATAAATAGAAGATCACTTAATAAATTAAACTAATACACAAAAGATATACAAAATGGAGCGGAAGTGTGAAATGAATCAACAATATAAGATTAATGATCTTCCACATTTCTAGTTTATGAGATTAAGGTTCGGGCTAGTAATACAGTTGTATCACTTTTGTTATTTTGGGTCGGATTCTTTCACAACACATTAGTCTAACTGAAAACTGAAATTAGTTTGTTCTTTGATGATGTGTCCAGTGAATTGAAGAGAGGGGGGGGGGGGGGGTCCATGTCCAGAAAAAGATAAATTTTTGAAGGGAGACCCAAAAGGTGGACCAAAACACATTACATCATTGCAACAGGAAATTCCATTTTGGAGTTCAGCAAATTATTCCAGCCAACGAGTTATGCATTTCGCTACAACAGAAATTACACAACAGTTACAAGAAGAGATTCACCAGAATGTCAGACTGCAGAACCTAAAAGATTTCCTCCACCTGTATACTAAGGGCGAAAGATAAAACAGGAACGCAGCCGACCTATCCTAAGATAATGTCTGCACGACCTGAACTACTACAGTGAACTTTTACAGGAAGATGGCTCCTATTAACTAATAACATTTATAAACTTGTCTTGGTACAATTATTCAAAATGCACGAGCCTCTTCATCATAGAAATTCCTCCCTTCAACAAATCCACCAATACTTGCCGCTGAAACTCTCACCTATAGATGAAAAGGACCTTGTTGTCAAAATCAAATCATTATTTTGACCTAAAGGTTCTATTTTCATCAAAGGAAGGGAGAAGTGACTAAGAGGTGCTGGTGATAAGGGTTTTAGTCAATATAACAGGGACATACCATGAAGGACAATGGTTGCTCATTTCAACAAAGCTTTTGCATATCATGACGGAAAATCCCCTTCAATCGCTCCCTCACCTGTCAATTACCCACCAAGCGTCACATGAGTAATAAAAACCCCAATTTATTGCAGTCTCTGATCTGCTTGAAATATAAGAGGTGCTAATGGTCCAAAACAGAATACTATTCTTTCATTTAGCACAAAACCAGAGAGATATTCTTAGTTAAATTCCTATTCTTAAGACGAAAAGCAATATCATTCAACCCCAAAAAAGAAAAAGAAAGAGAGAGAGAAAAGACGGTGGGTGGGTTTCTGTTGTATTCTCATAGCTTGTTCCTTTCCTCTTAATCAATAGTGTAAAACTACCACTCACCTTAGATAAATAATAAACAAGGAAACAATGTCAGGCAGCTATTTAAATCGCTCTCCAAAAAATTGTCCAGAGTTACTATAGGTTCTTGTAAATCAACTGTGGCGACCTAAAGCTTAGCATGGTCACTACCAAAGCGGAGGAACCTTGAGATGGTAGGAAGATTAAACACCAAAAAGATATATAGCAAGTCTGCAACTGCTCTTGCAGAATCTTTCACAAACATGCAACCATTGAAGATGTTCTATGCACAATCTATTTCCTTAGTATAGCACCCTGTCCGGCATTTGAAGTGTTAATTTTACATATACACCTACAGTTCCAATAATGCTAGTCAGAGAAAGTTAGTTCAAGCACAATCCACATTTGGAGATTCTCAATGAGTCGTTATGCTAATGATACAACATGTAAAATGCAACAGTACAATTGGAAGCAGATCAAATCAACAATAAAGAAAATGCTAACCTCGAACATTAGATGTGAACCCGCAAGTAGTCAAATGCTTAGCAAGGGCCTCCCCTATCTGCTTTTGCCAATTTGGTACAACCTTCGCGTCAGATACTGGCCACACTATTGCTGTCTCCGTCGTAAGATTTACAGTTGCAGAAGAAACTTGTGGCTGTTGATAAAGAAATTCATAATATCAAGTGAAAGAAATACGAATAAGGAAATAGAAAACACGTGAACTAGGAATAGAAGTTATAGAAGAAAAGGCTAGCTAAACACATAAAATCTGTGAATTATGCAATTTATGCACTCCAAAAATCATAGACAACTGAACTGTCCTTGGGATGTTCGGACTTCTAACTCAGTGGTTACAAAGTACCACCGCACCCACTTTTCCTTTGTGATAATGAATGCAGACTTGGTTCATAAGAGAGAGAGAGTTTTTAATTTAAACTATATATAGAGGTTTGAGTCCACAATGTGGATCCACCATGGTTGGGAAAATTAAACACTCTAGGCTAGGTAAGACAAGAGTTTTTAATTTAAACTATATATAGAGGTTTGAGTCCACAATGTGGATCCACCATGGTTGGGAAAATTAAACACTCTAGGCTAAGTAAGACAAGAGTATTTTTTTAGCTTTTCTTTTGGTACTGAGAGCTAATAATTCTGTTGATGCAATCAATCGTTTTCATATTATTTAAGGAACCAAACAGTCCAAAAGAAGAACAGAGATAGCTCCTCCTTTAGTTACCAAAGCAAACCTTGTACTCAATCTACTGCAGTATTTTTGGGCTATATAGCATGAACATGAAAGCTTAATTAAAGAGAAGAATCTGTATTTTGAATACTTACTTGACTTTCTAAAATTCTCTTCACGCTCGCAGCACAGCCGCCACATGTCATTCCCTGGAAATGTGCACACACAAATTTGAGGAATATTCAATGTCAATACAAATATTGCAATATCTAAAACGAGTAACTTACGGTAACATCAAGGATAATGACGTCAGAGGACAAAGCGGATACATCTTCACTCGTTTCAGCAACAACACTAGGATTTTCCTTACCGCCGTCCGTCGCACCACCTCCATTGCCACCGCCACCACCGCCATTATCACCGGAGCCATCATTTCCTCCACTGCCAGCAGCAAACGAAGCCGCAGAGCCAGAAACGCTCCGCAAATCCTTCCGAACCGGGCGCAAATTCGCCGCTGCCAAGCTCTTCGACAGCAAAACCGGTCCGAACCGGTTCAAACCTCGAACCTCACCGTTACATACGGCTCGAAGATGGAGCCGAGCGAGTTGACTCAGCAGTACAAAGTGAGTCGGCCGAGTAGAAAAGTGACGGTGAAGTTGAGAAACTAAAGGACTGCAATTGCAATGAAGAGTTCTCGATGCTCCCAAACGAGAAATTGCCGCTGGTGATGTCAATAGTGAAGACTCCATAGTAGATCTTCGACTGAGCTACCAGCAAAATGAACTCTCTCTCTGCAGTAACGTGATTTATACGTAACGGATTACTTGGCAGTAGTATAGCTGTGGTTCTATCACCTTTTACTGCCTCATCAGTTCTCTTCCGAATATGAAGCAGTAGCAGAGCGGGGCAGGAACTTTCCTAGGGGTAAGTTGGTAATTACAAAACATGAATTCAATTAGCGGTAGGTGGCGTTCCAGTCTTTATGATCACGTGTAAGGAAACCCCACCTACTTCTCTATCCTTTTTACTGGACTAATCTATCTATTTTAGAGTACGTTTTCTGAAGAAAAACTTTTATAAAAAAAAAAAAAAAAAAAAATCATTCCATAAAGCAGCTCTCAAGTTATATTTTGATATGTTTTGATTTTTTTTATATATATTTTTGTCTTATTTGGCAAATCATTCCAAAAAATATACAAACACTTTCTCAAAAAATGTAGTATTATTCATTCCAGAATGGGCGCTTGAGTGATTTTACCAAAAAATTATGAGAGACCCTAGGGTGGATGTTCGAGCAGTTTGGAATAGACTTGAAAATTTTGGTTTGGATTTTCGATTTTTCAATTGAAGAAATGACGATTCAGATCCAATTCAAATAAGCTCGGATTGAATTGACTTTTTAAGTTCGTTTGAATATATCAAATTTTTTATTTTGAATCTATAAGTTGATATGCTTCTTCATTCTCACAAAAATGAACATCCAAATGAAGTTCTAGTTAATAGTTTCATTATTTTTCTTGTCAATTGTAGCCTTGTAGGTTATCGAGGTCTTTTCTCGTGCAATAAATAATAGTCACACCATTTCAATTTAAGTGAATATATTTCCTTTTTAGTCCGTACCAAAAAGAACGACTCCTTTCATATGTGAAAATAGTTTACCTTTATGCAATGATTTATAACCATACAAACTATATATACCTCATTTTATATCATAAGTTTAAATTATTGTTTTTATTTTGTTTTCAGTAAAATAGATTCACATAAATTAAAACAGAGGGATTAATATTTACTCAAAAGAATTAGTGTAAACAAGCACGCGATAAACATGGATGTCAATCATATCACCAGCCCACGAGTGGGTCCCTCTGTGTATCATTCGAATTTGCTCGTTTTTCAAGTGAGCCGTGGAGTGTGGACCATGGATAGGAAAGGAGAAAGATAAATTAAAAAAGATAAAAAGGAAAACGTGAGATCGAGGTAAGTTAAGCAAACTATTAGGATACAATTAAATCATTTGCTTTAAAGTTACAACCTCCTATCTAGTGATATCATTTTCTTTTTCAATATTCGTTCTTTTTGAGTCAGATTCTTTCGATGTTACTAGCATATAATTGTTTACCCGTAAAGCGATATATTTGAAGTTATACGTAATTTATAGACAAGCGAATTGATTCGATCCCAAAATAAATAAATAGATTAAATAAAAATGTAAGACTTAGCGTTAAAATCGAGATAAGATAAGTAAGGAAATAAAATATTTATTGAGCTTTCGGCAGTTTATAGCATAAGTTTGTCAAATCATATGTCGTCTTACAATGGTTGTTGAACTCACTATTTATAGTTGCTCCTAGGGAACATGGTTCTAGAATCAAGCTCCTCTTAAATAACAATTATGGGGGCCATAGAAAAATATATAACGGCATGCTATGAATGCCATATTCTCTATTACAGACCATGTACTTAATGTTATAGAATATTCTTCATTGAATGTTCCCGGGTGGCAGGCATTTATTTGTCTTTATGAGCAACATTCCCTTCGGGGACAACCGAGATTGCTGCCCCCCGGACTTGATTTCTATTTGCCTTGCTTTCCATCTGTCTCTGATTCCACGTGTCGCTCTATTCTGTGAGTATTTAATATGAACATAATTTGCGCTATACAAATAATCCCCCTGCTTTCCGGTGGCATATCCTTGTATCACCGGTAATGTTGTATGGTGGTCCGGGCCCGGGCCTAAATGGGCTAAACGGGCCTGGGCTTAGCGGTTCGGGCTCCGGCGGTCCCGGGCTTCACGGTCCCAGGCTTCGTGGGCTCAACGGGTGGAACCAGCCCATGACGGGCCTAAGCCTATATGGTCCTGGGCTAAATGGGTCGGGCTCGCGGGTTTAGCGGGCCTAACGGGCTTTTTTATTTCCGGGCTTTTTTTTTTAATTTTTTTTGTTTAAGGCAATTTCTTGTAAACCATATATGTATGTATATATATAAATTGCTCTTATACATGGCTATATAAATATATGTAGTATATATAATATAGAAATCTAATTATTAAAGTGTTTGACGAAAAAGTAAAATAACAAAACAATAGTAAAACTAAATTGGCATGCATAATAAATTAATAACAAAGTACAACATGAAGCATAAATACGTCTAATAATTTTAAAATAACACAAATTGTTGAAAAATCTCAAAGACGAATTTGCGGATAAATACCCTCAACACAATACTTTATATGCTTCCTTAAATTGCCTGTGGTACACCCTGAACGAAAATTTAAGACTCTTCCACAGTTCTTGCACTTTAATATTTGGCCTTCTTCATTTTCTTCAAGCACTTCATAGTATTGCGAAACAAATAAGCGCACTCTTTCCGAACGAGGCATGATTTAACTTGAAAATTGAGATTGAGACTTGAAGTCTTGAAAATTGGAGATTGAGAGATTGAGAGAAATTTAGATTGAGAAATGAGTATTGAGTATTGAAATGAAGAAGAGGGAGGGGGTATTTATAGTGTTAGAGAAGGTTAGTTTTGTAAATTGAAAAAAATGGCTATTTGTGCAATATGACCGTTGGTGGTCATTGGGGGTGGGGCCCTCATTTTGAAAAATCTTGTTTTGTAGTATATATAGTACTACTTCTTCAAGTATATATAATATATATAGTATACCAGTATAGTATGCTATATTCCCTTATATATTTTCTTGTAGTATATATTGTATGTTATGTATATATATTCCCTTATATATTTTCTTGTAGTATATATTGTATGTTATGTATATATATTCCCTTATTTATTTTCTTTTAGTATATATTGTATGTTATGTATATATATTATGGCTTATAAATAATTGCAAGTTAAAGACAAAAAAATATTGCAAAGAGATATTCAAGGGCATGTCTTATAATTTTTATTACCAAAAATGGCATATCTTTCTTAGTCTTGTTCATATTCATGTTTATATTTATAAATATCGCTCTTTACGGTTGCGCGAGGCCAACCTTTATAAGTAGGATTAAAAACTTTTCTAATATAATGCACAAAGTTAGGGTTAGAAGGAAAAGTATAGGGTAAGCACATAGCGGTAACCATCTTTGGTAATTCTTCACGATCTTTATTTGGATCGTAATATAAAATACCACCGGTCACAGTGTTAATTCCTGGTTGAACTAGATTTGAACCTGTACTAGGGTTAACCGCAGTATCTACACTTGTCCCCTCTAGCTGCGCTTTCATTTGTAAATATCTAACTTTATCTCTAGGGTGTGTTTGTATGTGCCTTGCCAAACTACCCGTGCCGCTACGGCCTCCAGTATATTTATGCGCCAGCAATTTCCCACAATTGTTACACTTAGCCTTATTTTGTTCTCCTACTTGAGTACAAAAATTCCAAACTAATGATGTTTCTAGGCGTTTAGAAGGTTGTCTATTAAAAGTAGGGGTTTCTACAGGTGGGTCGGCCGGTGCATCAGTTGGGTTATTAACAGGACTAGTAGGTGTATCATCTAAATCCGGTTGGGTTTCATCTATATCCTCATTTTCCTCATCATTTTCTAAGATAGTTTCATTAAACTAAAGAGCATTCATAACTTCTTCATTTAATCTTTGACCTGGTGCAACATTATGGCAAAATTCACTATCGGAAAATTGAAAACAAGGGTTATCACTATCAAGAATAATAGGAGCAGCAGGACGGGTAACAGGTCTGGGTCGGGGAGCCGGAGGAAGGGTAGTAGGTTGGCGACTACTTTCACCAATTTTAGCTTTTCCCTTACCACCAAATATTTTTTTCAAAGAAAATGTCATATTAATTACAATTATACAAACTAAAACACACAAAAATATATTCTTAAAACTTAAGAGTTGGAACGAGTTTACTGAATTGCCGAACAACTTCTTGAAAATTGAAAATCGTTGAAGGCTTGAATACTTCAATTCACCAACTTCACAATTTTTCACGAAATTGCAATAATAAAATAAGCAATTATAGAAGAGAAATTAGATATAGATTGAGAGAGATTGAGAGAGATTGATGAATTGGTGAGTAAAAATGAAAGAATGAGGGGGTATTTATAGTTGAGAATAGGGAAAAAGTGTAATTATATAAAGTTTGGGGTTAAAATAAAGTTTGGGGGCCAAATGGCTATTTTTTAAAGTGGCCAACGGATAAATTATGAAGGCCAACGGCTAGATTTTAAAAATCTGACCGTTGGTCTTTTTTTTTTAATTTTTTTTTTTTTAAAAATAGCCGTTGGAGCCCGTTAGGCCCGATTGAACCGGTCCAGGCCCGCTTGCCGGTCCCGGGCTTAGCGGTCCCGGGCTCGTGGGCTTATAGAAGTGAACCGGCCCGCCACGGGCCTCCTGCACCATTGGGGACCTGCCCACCAGGACCGGCCCGCCAGGACCGTTTAGCCCGTTAAGACCGCGGGCCCGGTCCGATCCCGGTCCCAGCCCGGCCCACCATACAACATTAAATTCACTGGGAAGTTGGTGAGGATACCTCTCTTGGCGTAAAATTCTCTGACCCCCTCTGAAAAGTTTATGAGGGTTGATTAGACGCACGTCAATCCGCATTTAATGCCGCGAACACGCCTCATTCCATGATTTAGCAACACTTTCACTAGTTCTCGAGGTAATCATGGTCACGATTTTAGCCGCCTATTCCTTCACTAATACGCATCAATCTTCTTTTTTTACACTTCATAATTTTCCAAACTCTCTCAAACTTTCTTTACTCAACTCACTCTTACTTTCAACCTTCTTCTTAAGAGAAAACCTTATTTCCCTTTGTTAACTATGGCTCTTCTACTAGAAACTCTAGTTCTTCAAATAACAAAGAAAGTACTGATGAAGATGCTCCTCTTACATTGAGCACCATTATCCCCAAAAAACTTACTACGACTAAGGATTTCAAAGAGAAGTTTCCTTCT